AATTCTAGCATATGTAAGATGGCAAAACCAGACAGATACTTGTCTGGTTTTGGAGCCTTAGCCCTATGCTGGAAATTGGCTCATAGTTTGACACCTACTTTCTCTGGAGACCATGGGCTTAAATTGTTTGGTTTTTTTTTAAATTTTACTGGAGTGTCAGTTCAGAATGAACCTAATAATACATGAACATGTTTGTTCCTGCTTTGTAAGCTCTTTGTGGCAAAATTGTTAGGTTTTCAGTTTGGTTTGGGGTTTTGGTTGGTTGTTTTTTTAAAGCTAACATACAGGAAGCATTACTACAAGTAAAACCATAATAAAAATATTAATGTCTTTTGCAAACATTTTTAGGTTTGAAGGTCAGCATAAATTGAAATTTTTGCAGTGAAAGGGTGAAAGAATAGTGTCTGAAATTCACTGTCCTTTGCAAAACCTCTCAAATACCAGCCTATGCAAAAAGATGCTTACAAGCACATGTTTTGCTTTCTAATCAGCTGTTAAGAAACACAGTTTCTGCATAACTATATTTGGGAGATTCATGTTGGCTCCCAGAGGCTGAAAGGAGAACATTATGGAGAAAGCAGGTTAGATCTGGTTAAAAGGTGCGTAAGCTTAGCTCAGGAACTCTGGAGGAGCAATTTTTTTCTTTTTAGAATTCTTAGCTGCTTCTCTCCTTGGAAGCTTCAAAAACTTCTCTGAGCCTCCAGCTACCATAACAGGGTTCCTATAGAGTAAGGAGATTAATTTTTCTGGATGCAGTACATCCACATTAACTGACCTAGACCATTCTTCTCTCCTCACAAACTGCAGATCATCTCTTCGTTGCTTTTGCTGGTTAAATGGTTCTTCTGACCACACATTCTATTTTGTGAAATGATACACCCTAAAAAATTCCATACCAAGTTACAGACCAGTCAAGCCTGTAGTTAAGCAGACTATAGAGATCATAACCATCAAATAAAAGGTAAGACTTGGATCTCACAAAGCCATATCAGTCTCTGTGACCATGCCCCTATTAAGTAGATGTGATGGTGGGTTGCCCTGGCTGGCTGGCAGGTACCCACCAAAGCTGCTGCACCACTCCTCAAGTGGTGGAGAGGAAGAGAAAATACAATGGAAGGCTTGTGGGTTGAGATAAGGATGGGGAGAGATCACTCACCAACTGCTACTAGCAAAATGGACTTGACTTGGGTGAAATTAATTTGATTTATTACCAATCAAGTCATAGAATCATAGAATAGTTAGGGTTGGAAAGGACCTTAAGATCATCTAGCTCCAACCCCCCTGCCATGGGCAGGGACACCTCACACTAAACCATCTCACCCAAGGCTCTGTCCAACCTGGCCTTGAACACCGCCAGGGATGGAGCATTCACAACTTCCCTGGGTGACCCATTCCAGTGCCTCACCACCCTTACATTAAAGGACGTCTTCCTTATATCCAATCTAAACATCCCCTGTTTAAGTTTTAACCCGTTACCCCTTGTCCTGACACTACAATCCCTAATGAATAGTTCCTCGCCAGTATCCCTGTAGGTCCCCTCGAGATACTGGAAGGCTGCTATGGGGTCTCCACGCAGCCTTCTCCAGGCTGAACAACCCCAACTTTCTCAGCCTGTCTTCATAAGGGAAGTGCTCCAGTCCCTGATCATCCTCGTGGCCCTTCTCTGGACTTGTTCCAACAGTTCCATGTCCTGTACACAATACTCCAAGTGAGGTCTCACGAGAGAAAGAGTAGAGGGGCAGGATCACCTCCTTCGACCTGCTGATCGCGCTCCTTTTGATGCAGCCTAGGATACGGTTGGCTTTCTGGGCTGCGAGTGCACACTGAAGCCAGTTAATGTTTATTTTCTCATCAACCAACACCCCCAAGTCCTTCTCCACAGGGCTGCTCTCAATCTCTTCTCTGCCCAACCTGTAGCTGTGCCTGGGATTGCTCTGACCCAGGTGTAGGACCTAGCACTTGGCATGGTTAAACTTCATGAGGTTGGCATCAGCCCATCTCACAAGCGTGTCAAGGTCCCTCTGGATGGCATTCCTTCCCTCCAGCATATCAACCGAACCACACAGCTTGGTGTCATGGGCAAACTTGCTGAGGGCACACTCAATCCCGCTGTCCATGTCAGCAACAAAGACATTGAACAAGACCGGTCCCAACACCAATCCCTGAGGGACACTACTCATTACTGGTCTCCAGCTGGACATTGAGCCATTGACCATAACTCTTTGCATGTGGCCATCCAGCCAGTTCTTTATCCACCGAGTGGTCCACCTATCAAATTGAAGTCTCCCCAATTTAGAGACAAGGATGTCATGTGGGACAGTGTTGAACGCTTTACGTAAGTCCAGGTAGATGACATCAACTGCTCTACCTCTGTCCATCGGTTCCACAGCCCCATCATAGAAGGCCATCAAATTGGTCAGGCAGGATTACCCCTTAGTGAAGCCATGCTGGCTGTCACCAAGCACCTTGTTGTTTTTCATGTGCCTTAGCATGCCTTCCAGGTGAATCTGTTCCAAGATTTTGCCAGGCACAGAGGTGAGACTGACTGGTCTGTAATTCCCTGGGCCATACATTTTCCCCTTCTTGAAATTGGGGGTTATATTTTCCTTTTTTTAGTGATTGGGAACTTAGAGGAGGGTGGCAAGAAATAAAACCTAAATCTTTAAATACCTTTCTTACAACCCTCCCTTCTTTCTGGGCTCAAATTTGCTCCTGAATTCTCTACCTCCTCTCCTTAGTTGCTCAGAGAGATGGGGCATGTGGGCTGTTCATCACATGCTGTTTCTGCTGGTTGCTTTTTCCTCCTCAGGGGAGGACTCCACACTCTTCCCCTGCTCCAGCATAGAGTCCCTCCCACAGCAGACTGTTCTCCATGAACTTCTCCAATATGAGTCTCTCCCACAGACTGCAGTTCTTCAAACTCTGCTCCAGTGTGGGTCTCTTCTAGGAGTGCAGCCCTTCCGGAACAGACTGCTCCAGTGTGGGTCCCTTCCATGGGTGCAGCCCTGCAGGAGCAGACTGCTCCAGTGTGGGGCCCTTCCATGGGGTCACAATTCCTGCAGCAAACCTGCTCCAGTGTGGGCTCCTCTCTCCATGGGGCCACAGCTCCTGCCAGGAGCCTGCTCCAGCACAGGCTTCCCACAGGGTCACAGCCTCCTTCTGGCATCCACCTGCTCCAGCATGAGGTTCTTCATAGGCTGCAAGTGGAGATCTGCTCCTCCATGTATCTCCATGGGCTGCAGATGGAGATCTGCTCTTCCATAGACCTCCATGGGCTGCAGGTGGAGATCTGCTCCTGCATGGACCTCCTTGGGCTGTAGGGGCCCAGCTGCCTTACCATGGGCTACACCATAGGTTACAGGGAATCCCTGCTCTGGCACTGGAGCACCTCCTCCCCTCCTCCTGCACTGGCCTTGGTGGCTGCAGAGCTCTTTCTCACACATATTGTCACTCCCCTCACGGGCTGCAGTTGCTCCTGCACTGGAACTTTTTCCACTTCTTATCTATGTTATCCCAGAGGTGCTACCATGGTCACTGATGGGTTCAGGCTCTGGCCAGGGTGAGTCCATCCTGGTGCCATCTGGTATTGCTTCTTGCAGCTTCTCACAGAAGCCACCCTTGTAGCCTCCCAACTACCAAAACCTTGCCATGGAAACCCCATACACAGGCTTACCCATGTTTCATTTTAAAATGTATTATAGTAAGAAACAGTAATGCACGTATATTGTAATAGCTATATGTTAATTTTTGCATTGGTGTGTTCCATATCTGTACCAATTTTTTATTAGTAGTAACAATATTATGTTATTAAGTGTTTTGCATTTACTTAGTGGTTTGTGTGCATTTCACCCAAAAAAATACGTATGGCATGTTACTACCTATATTTTACGCAAGTGGAAACTGAAGCACAGGGCACAGTGTTAAGGCAGATGTTCAATTACAGTTAAATATCTGACTCTTCACTTACAGTTAAATATCTGACTTTCATGTCAGTCACCTTCAAATCTTTAAATTTAAACTCCCACGTATTTGATTAAGTGTTTATTACACCAGTGTGTTAAGATAGTGACAGAACATATTGTTCCCAAAGAACAGGATATTTACACTTTATTGAAAAATATGCTATAAATAGAACCTAGAAGCTTTACCTAGAAACAAACAAACAAATAGCATATGATAATTTTTCATCAATATTTTTTATATGAAATCAAGGTTATTTTTTTTTTTTTCTTCCTAGTTTGGCTTATTTCACCACAGAATCCTCAAAAGTACCAGGTCTGCTGAAGGCTCAATAGCAACAGAACATTCTATGTTTGAGAGTTGTAACTGAAATTATTTAGAAAAATATATTTCATTTTCTTGGATCTTGCCTGAGCCTCCTCACACAAGACTGGAATCTCCCTAGTGAGTTGAGGCTTGAATATGAGAACTATTGCTCCAGGCATACCCATCTATTAGCCTTGTATTAACATCTTGGAGCTCCCTGTGTATATCACACCAAAATGCACAGAGATCCATAAAATAAAATGTAACATTTTACCTTATAAAAAAATACCATTTTAAGTAAGGTAGGTTTCTTAACCTTTCATATCTGTCTTTAAAAACACGTGCTTGTGTTTCGTAAGAAATACTTAGCGAAGGAGAAAGAATAGTGTTCAAACCTAATAAATTTGTTTGCTTTTGTATCTTTCCTGACAAAGGTTTTCACAGTATTTTCAAGGCTCTGTTTAGCTGATGGCAGTAGCATTAACAGTGTACCATTATATCTCTTAGTCCTTCAGAATGGCAGTTCTTAACAGATACCTGTGATACTGCAGTGAAGATAATTCTGACATACAAAAAATAACGTGGAGCATCTTATATTGTCACTTCATTTTTTTTTACTAACCATTGACAAGCAGTCATTAGAAACCACTGCATTTATTTTTTGGCCTCAATATAAGGGAATTGTAATGTTGAGGTGCAATACAAACCATAAATAATGTAACACCGAAGGTCAATGTATTAAGATAACAAATATAACTGGATTAGAAAACACACAGCAGTTTAATTAGGAAACTAATAATGTCCACCTACTTCATGTGAGAGAACATCCTTCTGTAATAGTTTACATACCTTGTAAACAACAGTAGAGTGAGAGAAAATCATTTACATTGTCTATACACAAAATGAACAAATGCTAAAACACACGTTAGGTAATGATAAATTTTGCTCAGTAGTATTCACCACTGACTACAGTGCTGATAGTAATCATGTTATAATTCAGCAGAATAGCAATTAAAAAACTGTACTGTATTTTAAATATAACCATGAATTTTCACTGACTTATTTTAAGTCCACTAAGATTGAATTTCTGATACAGCGGACAGTCACTAGCTCTTCATATGATTTTTTTTATCACATCTGACTCATGAAGCAGAAGCATATTCCTAATGCTGGCAATGGAAAAGTAATTCAGCAGATCATCATTCTATAAATCAATTGAAAATATGATTAAAGAGGAAAAAATTGAGTGCTTTAAAAAGTAAAGGTCTGATTAAATGTAGAATATGTGGTTAGATGTAGAACTACAAAGTGTAGAAAAAGAAAATATAACAAGACCGTACCCATATAAGTCTCACATAATCTACTTGTAGAATGTATTCTCATTAATCATTAACTTCTTTACCACTGCAAACAAAGGACAGTTATGGTAAGAGCATCGTATCTGTTTCAACATATATTCTGAAATCCTATTGCAGAGACAAGTTAACAGTCAGTAGCCCCCTTTTCTTTTCTCCACATGCCTTTTTGAAATTATGGAATTTGTCCATAATTTAATTCTACTAAAATTACTATTAACATGGTAAATGCTTATTGCCTATTTCGAAGGCTCCTTTTCCAGTTTGCAGAAAGATATTCCTGTAGACAGCTCCATGGGGACCTATTTTTGATACATTTTTTTAGTGAGGAATAACACTTCCAAGTTGGGGGGGGGGGGGGGGGGGGAACACACACGAGACAAAAAAAAAAACAAAGAAAAACAAAGAAAAACAAGCAAAAAAACAAAACAAAGAAATCCAACAAAAACCAAAACCAACAAAACAAATAAAACCCCCAACAGTCCAACAAAAACAAAAAAAAAACCACACAAAACCCCCAAACAAAAAAAAAACTCTGTAAACTTATTAGCTATCTAATCTACTGCCTTCTATATATAAGCATAATCAAATTACTTAATTTGTTACCTGACAGATGATATTTTTGAGTGTTCTTTAACTTTCCCTGCGTCCCATCACAACTGATTCAAAGATCTACTTTTCTTAGAATAGGTGTGGCATAAATGCCAAATTAATTTATAGTATAAAGTGAAATAGAAATCATATTCATTTAAGTATTTACTATAATACAGACTACTACATGGCTTTCAAAATCTGAATACAAGCACAAAGCTAACAGTTCCTTGTGCTCACAGTTTCTGCTTCTTACAGAGAGTATTTATGCTCGAAGGATGTTTCTTTGAATCAAAATTCCGATTGCAAGAGCATAGTCCCTCTGTATAAATTGTGTTCTTGTTCTGTATATTAAAGCACTGAGTTCAGTCCTGTGGAATACATTCATCACAACTCCGCCAAAAAGAAGAGAAATACCCTGACACACAAAAACCAACCCTCTCCTTTTACCCATGTAATTTAAAATCTGTCAAGTGTGTAGGAACCATGTGTTTGATACTGCAGGTACATGGAAAGACACAGCTAAGGCCTGGGCTTTGACACCCCTAGGGCTGATGCAGAGCTGTATTTATGAAAAGCTGAGCTGATTGAGATGAAAGGCATTTTGCCCCCATTAAGATCACAATTTCATGTATCCTCCCACTTGGAACACTGAGCAAAGGCTCAGTCTATTTCAGAAGCACACTAAAAATCACAAGTTATATTCCTGCTAGTTCTATGTAATTACTGAATGTAGAAGGGGGCAGATCTTAAAAACAGTTCCTTGACTGCCTTGATTTGCAGCTGGAGAAGGAAACAACAGCAACACTTATTACTTTCCCAGTTGGATAGTACAGGAGCAAGAGAGGAGAGATTTAGCACAGTCAGTGTTCTTCCCACTACCTCCTCTTCCCCACTGTACCACAGCAGCAGATTTAATGAAGCATAAGCCCCAGGAGAGCCTCTGTGGAGTTTCTTCCTTTTGTAGCAATAGGGGACAGTGATACCTTGATTGAAACTTGGTTTCCAAAGTAGTTCCTGAATAATAAAACTGCATATCACCCATTGATCTGGAAAAATCACAGAGTGAGAATCTAGCTCATTTTGGACAAGGTCTGAAGGATAAAGGTACTTCTCCAGTTTCCTTTCCACTTTATCAGTTAAATTATTGATCTACTCACTTCAAGCAGAGGAACGTGGATGGCATCCAAGGTATTTTATTAAGGGTACACTTGTATGAAGTATAATGACTTCAGTTTGCAGGGGTTTAGGAGAATTTAATTCCTTAAGACTTGTGCAGCATTAAAGCCTCTTAATTTTACTCTGATTTCCACAAACAAGAAAGCTTACAAGTTAAAGGCAAACCTCATTCAAACCTAGTTTCACTCAGTTCTCAGTGAAAAATCATAAACCCTCACTGAACTAACAAACACTAAGAAAAAAATCCAAAACAAATGAACAGAAAGAGCTGGAGTGCCTAATCAAACTCCAAGTCAGGTGAGTTTTGCATAAAGCTGGTAAGGTGTTTACTCAGAACTAGGCAGTATAATTCTTTGGCTCCTTTATATTACTCAAACCATATCTGAAGCTCGCTACTCATTGTCTTAATTAGTTTCATAATTTTTAATGATGGTTTGGATTCATCACACACACACACACACTGAAATACTCTGCTATTTAAGTTCATTTAAAGAACAAAAGGAAGGCTACTAGGTATTCCATGAATGAAACTGAACCAGTATCTTTTGTAGGGCCAACCTTTAAATAACTCTTTTTTTAGGTAGGGTTTTCTTTTTTTGCTTCTACATCCCCCTCATTCCTTCAAGGTCTCATATAAGCTTTAATAATTTTCTCCAACTTTATAAAGCAAGATGCAGAGAATAAAAATAAAAATGCTTTAAAAATAAACTTTAAAATAGTTACTTTTCTGGAAGAGCAACACAGGTATTTCAGTTGACTCTTGCCAAGTATTAAGAAGGCAAAAGAATATAAAAGGCTCGTGTTAACAGATTTCAGATAATTGCTCCCCAAAATGTTTCTGGATTTATTTATTTATTTAATGAAGCAGTAGATCTATCCACTACCATTAGAATGAATAATAGAATTTATTTCCTTTTTGGAAAGAGCATTCAAAAGAAAATTACATTCTCCTGTAGAATATATTTCAACTACTGGACAGCTTAATTAACACATAGCTAACCTTAACTTTGACAGATACAGACCAAAATTCAAAAATATAGTGCATTGAAGCTAATTAAAGTGTCAAAATTTCTAACATGTATGAAACTACTTTTTTTTTATTAGAAAGCTAGGAATTGGTATCAGTCAGTTTTTCAATAAATTATTTTTAAACAAATAAAGGATAAACAAATTGTATTTAATATTTTTTAATATTAAACATTTTTTAATATTTAAAATAATAAAGGATATATATGTAAATTATCTTATATTTCTGGTAAAAGGTTTGTTAATTACTTGCTTTTGGGGAACTAGAAATATTAACAGTTTGAATAGTAAAATGTAATTTTGCAAGTCAGTGGATTACTTATTATTTAAATGAAGGATAGAGGGGAAAGTAGCATTCATTAGTGTGGGTAAGTGAGTGTGAATATTGCCAATTTAATTTCTCATCTGTAACTCTCCAAAGTAAAGGCCTTTATAGAAAGATATTAACTTGAGATTTAAAAAAAGTTTTAAAGTGTTATTTATCAAAATTGTAATGTTACTCGTGCATCTCATACTCGCTGAAAATATTAATGGCTTTATTTCCTAAACTTGGCTCATTTTGGTTTGATGGCCCTCCAGCTAGAACCACTAGGAGGGTTTTCGGCTGTCTTCATTGAAAGTTGGATTGTTCAGCTCATATTTGAGCTACAAGTGAACATTATTTGAATTGCAACATTTGCCTGAAGCCAGTATAATATATCAGTTTCAGTTATGCTCCAAAAATATGAAATTTGTTGGCTGAAAATTCTTTCACATTTGTCAAATGAATCACTTGCATAAGAGCACTGCCCTCCAGAGACAAATGTGAAAGATCTCATAGACAATGGTTTGCACAATAAAATGCCATGTTTTTCAAGTTAATTGTTTTACAAAAATGGTGGAATGCTTTGATCCTATCTTATCACTCTAGCTAGCACCCACATAGTTCCCTTCAACCCTCTCTGTTCTCTCACCACTTTTTTCAAGCAGAGAGAAATAGAGAAAGATTAAATAATTAAAAACTGTTTTTCAGTTCTTAAAAAACCCAAGCAAACCAAAAAAAAAAAAAAAGTGAAAAAAAAAGCCAAACTAAACCACCAAAAACCAAATCAACAACAAAAAAACAGATCGACAAAAAAGCAAACCACAACAAACAAAACAAAACAAAACAAACAAACAAAAAAAAACCAGAAACCAAGCTTCTCCCTGATGTTTGCAGGGTTTATAAATCCTATCGGAATGCTAGCCAGATCGTGACTATTCAAGGCAGCAGTCACAAACAGCAGAAGCTCTGAAACTGTTCCCAGCTCTGTCTCTCTTGGGTCAGCATTCACTGAGTGCTTTAGTGAAGGCTGACCCTCTAACCCATCAACAGACCTTTACAGGGGCAGAATAGTAGACTTAGACATTATTACTCTTTTAGAGCAGTGTGACTACATGCTTGAGTGAACATGGTCAAGTACAATCGGGGCATGTTAAATTTGTACTCAAAAACGGATTAAGATAGGGTCAGAGATGCTGAAATCTACCAGTGCCTAGAAGCTATTGTTAGCATGTGATTAACATTTCAGGATTAATGGGGAATGCTTGTAAGATTTTAAGTTTGCATCTTTGTTACTGCTGGATTGAAGGTATGGGTCTTGACTTTTGTGTTTTGTTTTTTTTTTAAACAGTGAATCCTTCAAACAAAGAATTGTTTGTATTTTCAGTATCATGAGGGTGTTCATGATCAAGATAGCAGCTTTCCATACACATATGTTTGCAAATATTTTACCAAAAACTTGTGTAATCTGACATCCTTGCAAGAAGCAACAAATCTTGAAATGTCTACCTACAGAATAAGTACAGGTTTATTTTCTTACTATCTGTTAGGTATCATAAAATACGGAGCACTAAATTTTGTCCTCAGGTTCTGCAAACAGCTCATGCTTCAGGGAATCAGGACTTTGAGTGCCACTGATCACTCAGACAGTGAAATCATCTGGCTTGGATCTAATTCATGATGGAAAGCTAATATTCATTTAATGCTGAAGAAAAAAATCTAAACACCAGTAGCTCAATACTTATGATTTCT